TAAGGCCCCAGGAATAGATGGTATACCAATTGAAGTATTTCAGATAACAGATGTTGCCAATTTCTGATAAACTACAAGCCCACAAATCTCTAGTTCACACTCAGCTTCTTGAAAACCTGCCCTGGGCTAATAGGTATAAGTGACTTTGATATCATAAAGTGTTAGCTCTAGATATTGGAATGATAGAAGACACTTTTACAAAACCTTTCATTATGTATGTATTAAAATAAAGTTTTGGGAAAGAACTCTTTTTCCCTTGGTCTTCCTCCAAGAGGACTAGTTGAGCAAGCCCGCCCAGGCAGCTGCAGGAGTCTTTTCTTCTTGAGGGCAAGAAGCTCCGAGAAGTCGGTGACAGCCAGAGCCATCTCAGGGAGGGCTTTCAGAATGGGCCCAGTGACCCTTTGGAAAGAGCCTTCCTTTCTCCAAAGACTAGAGTTATAGCCTCCCCATCTCCTTTAGCCAAGAACCTCAGCGCCTCCAGAGAAGGTCATTGGCTCAGGAAAATGGACAGAATCAGAATGGGAGAATGGGCATTTGCTGGCTCTAGATCAGATGATGCCTTTGTGCTGATTATAATAGGCTACTTCTATAAGCAGCTGGATAAAAGGGACATGAGCTGGACTTTAGCCCCATTAAACGGATACAATCCATACAACGGTTCTGGAAAGCACTTCTGTCCCTGAGAGGTAACTGAATCACCCTTCTCAGCCTTGGAAACAGGAACTCTTAATTCAATGCTGTTTTTTCACACCAAAAAACCTGCCTCTCATAAATAGAGGATGCCTAGAAAAATAACTCAGAAAGTTCTTGAGGAAGGGCAGGCTTCAGGGGCCACAGGGTGCTGGCTTAGGGGAGTAATGGCCTCTCCTCATGGTGGAGTGACTGGCTCGTCTGTGTTCTTTGAGTTATGCTGTCACTTTTTAACTTGTAAAATATTGTCCTAGAAAACAAAATGTGCATGCATGATTGACTGGAAAAGCAAGCCACTATAAAACCAAAAAATAAAAATAAAATACTGTCATAGAACAAACAAATCTGTAACCTAGTTTTCATTTATATAGCTGGACGCATGAATTTCTGACAATCCTGCCAGATTTGTAACAGTTATGATTTTGTTTCCCTTGGAAGTTGAAGGAGAGTAATGGCTCCAATATCATGGGTGCCCCTGACTCCACATGTCTGACTATAAATAGAAAGACTAAGAGAATGGGCTCTGGAATCAGACTTGCTGGGTTCGTAAGCCAACCTCCACCTCTTCTAAGTTGTATGGCTCTTTTGGTAAACGCTGAGTCTCCATTTTTAACAATAATACCAACATCCCTGGATGTCTGTGAGGAATCCATCAGTTGCTCATGAAGCACTTAGTAGCTTGGCACCAGGAGAAACTCAGTAAATGGCGACATCATCTTCATCGTCAACCAACCCAATCGTCCTCAAATCATTCCCTTCCCCAGTCCAAATCGTCTTTTGGATTCTCAGTTGTTCCTGGTGCAGTCCAATTTCCCTGCTCCCTGGGTGACCTTCCGGATTTTGCCCCATCGACAGGTGGCAGTGGTCCAGAAAGCAGGTTACTGCCCTCCTCCAAGCATGAAGTAAAAATACTTTGTACATGGAACAGTTGGTCCAACCTGTGCTCAGGCAGGGACTTAACCCCGGAACAGTGACCACACCCAGGAAGTGATCAGTGAGATTACAACCGGTTTTAAAGTGTGATGGTTTAGAGGGTCAGGAAGGGACATCCTTCATGGAACCTTCCAGCCCTGGCAGTAGCTGAAGGTTCTTTGAGGCTTTTCTTGTTCTGGGATTCTCTGCTTTGCTCCCAGCATCCTGTGCATCAGCCTCCTCCACCCCAACTCCCACACTCTGAACCTCAATTCTTCTACACACCCTCAGTGCCTAGCAGAGACCTCAAATCTTTGGATGCATTTGACATGAGGCGAATGAATGAAAGGAATGAATGACTTAATGAGGATGACAATTGTGATGGTTACTATTTCCAAGCAGTTACCATGTGCCTGGTGTATGCTGAGTGCTTTACTTGCAGTATCTCACCAGCCCCTCCTAGTGCTCCTAGAAGGTGGGGATTGTGATTATTCCCGCTTCACAGACGAAGATGCTGAGACTTGGGAATAGCCACAGCCTGTCTTTGCTTAAATATCTAGTAAGTGGCAGAACAGGGATTAGAACCCAAATGGGCCTGATTCCAGAACCCATTCTCTTAACCATCATGACATAAAAACTGCCTCCGCTGACAAACAAAAATCTTGATGGTGCAGAGAAATTATAATCTTATGGTGGAGCTTCAGGCAAGAGGTTTTATCTTAAGTAAGGTTATTCTGTGGAAAAGTGTAAGTTGGCGGATAGGGAGACAGCTTAATGATGCTAAGGCACCTACCTCAGGACAAGCAAGCATGCTATGCTTTACTTAACTGTCATGATCTTACAGTATGAATATCATTCCCGTATTCCAGATGGGAAACCTGAGACTCAGAGTGGTTAAATAAGTTGCCTAGGGTCACACAGTAATTACGCAGCAAAGCCAGGATTTGAGCTACAATTTGTCAGCCCCAGAGCTCATAATTTACTGTTCTATTACAGCTAGAAATGACACGGAGGAGGAGACACCAATGGGAGGAGGCAGCACTGGCCTGAGACAGCTGCGATATCATAGCAATACACACATGCACACACAGCCTCCTCCTTCCTCCAGAACTGACAGCCTTTATAAGAACCATGGGATTTTATAGTCAGCAATCACTCACAACCTCCTCCATCACACAGATGGAGAGTTGGAGGCAGAAGTAGCCTGAGGCCACCCAGGGAGGAAGTATGCAGGCCAAGGACCAGGGTTGAGCCTGGATTCCTCCCTTTGAACACCCGAGCACCTCTGCTCTGAGTCTGGCCCTGAAGCCCGAGGCTGGCCACTGCACAGCTCTGCTCCCTTTCCCAGGCGAAGCTAAGGGGAGGTGCGTTCTGAGTATAAATAGCAGAGGAAGAGGCTTTGCTTAAGCAGCAGAGTTAACTCTTGGGACCCTGGGCACAGGGAAATGCTTCTCTCCTGATGGGAGAAGGCATGGCCGCTGTCAGAATTAGACTGGCCCTTAGTGAGCAGCTAGGCCTTGCGTTCACAGCACAGTCTATGACCCAGCAGCCTTGACATCACCTGGGAGTGTGTTAGACTTACAGAATCTCTGGTCCCCTCCCACTGAATCAGGATTTGCCATTTAACACCATTTCCAGGAGGTGAAAGAAGCAGAAGCATTAGCCTGGACAACACTCTGCATGCAAAGATGGGGGAAAGTGGCTCAGAGAGGGTGCTACACTGATCCAAGGTCACACAGCCATTCCCTGGTAGAACTAGATCTAAAATCTGCACTTCCTCCCATCATTGCTCAGAAACCCAGTGCACAGGGGTGCAGCCTCTCACCCCACTTGAGTCCGGCTGCCCTGGCCTTGCTCTATGTTCTTCACCAAGATGATTGGCCTTTCCACACAGCTGGCATCCACATGACCTCGACCTCAGGGGCGGGCCCCATGAAGCTTTCTTCTTGCAGTGGGTGGCAGGGCGAGGGAGGTGACAGGGCCATCGTGCTGGGCTGACTCAGTGTGGGGGTGGGCTTGGGGAGTGGGCTGTGCCGGCCAAGGCCAAGCTTTTTTCCCTCCTGGCCTATTTTCGTCTCTCTTAGAGCTCCAAGAGTTTTCCTGAAACAGCTTTTGCGAAGGAGGCTGCCGGCAGCGTGGGCAGGGAGGAAGGGCCCCCTTTTCACTCCCCCCCCAACCAAGCTGGTCTCTGGAGAAGGTGGAAACCATTAATGACACCCCCTTCCTCATCTCTGCTATTGCTGCAGCCAGAGAAGACAGTGTCCCCTCCACAAACACCCACACACTCCTGGCCCTCACCATCCTCCTCAGGCCCCTCACTTGTCCCTCAAGGCTCACCAATGTTGGGGTGCTTCAGCAGGCGGCAGATGCGGGCTTCACGCTCCAGTTTCTGGTGGTCTGAAACACAGATGACCTGGTGAGGCCCCCGTGAGGAAGGAGATCCACCCACCCTATCCCTCCCCTCCATCTTCTCACAGCTGCTCATCTCGACCCCCCAGGACAGCCCCTCACTTCGAAAGCTTGCCTTTTAGTCACAGCCTCTGAGTTCTCCGGGAAGGCAACAGGGTTCAGTGGAAACAGGGAGAGTTAGGGATCAAGAGTCTCTTCTTTTCTCTGGACCTCAGTTTCCAGAGCTCTCAAGCGAAGAGCCTCCCTTAGCCCCTTCTGGTATATAAGGTTTGCTTCACCCCCTACTTTACTCCTCAGGCTTAGACCCCGCCCTCCCGGACCTGCTAACCTCGTGAATTTCTCCAAGTACACCCTGGTCAGCTCTCTCACTTTGCAATCTTTGCACAGGTGGTTCTCTTAGCCTGCAACACTGCCTGTCAATCTCCTGCCCTGTAATCCACCAGCCATCACTCATCCCTATCCATTCTTAGATGTCATCACCACGTGGAAACCTGCCCTGACTCCTAGCTCTTACATCCGCTGATAGCACAGCCCATGCTGACTTACAGACACCCGCATCCCTGAAGGCAGGGACTTGGTCTCCATGCACTCCTGGCATCTGACTGTATGCCTGGCACATAGTAGGTGTGCAAAAAAGAACCAAATTAAAGAACAAAAGACTAAAGGAATGACCATGTTTCTATGAGAGTGAATGTTCGTTGCCTTCTCCCCTTGGAAACGGGAGAGAAGAGGTATGCTAATTCTCAGAAGTCACCTCTCTCTGTCAGAGGACTTAGGGATAAATATGACAACCAAGAATCTAGAACTCCCCTGTGGCAGTCTCTGGTGCACCCCGGGTGCTCACACTTTAGACTTCTGTCTGAATGTTCTGGGTCTCCCTGCCCACTGAGGAGAGAGACCTGGGCAGGATCTGCCACCTGTGGTCTCTGATTCTCAGTTTCACCTGTGACTTCATTCAGTCCTCCCACCGACGCTGCACTGGGGCTTCCCTGACCCTATTTTATCTATTTTATAGATCTATTTTATAGAGCAGCCTGAGTCAGGGGAGGTCTCAGTGTCAGCCAATTCCTTGTCTGGTGCTTTTCCATTACTGGGTAGTTAATGCCTTATTTTTTTTTAAAAAAAAAGCAATAAAAAATGAGCTGCTAATAAGTGTTCAATATTTACTGTGTCGGGTATTATGCAGACCTCTTTATATGTATTTCTATCTCTTTTATTATTGCCTTGGTGGTCTAGTGGCAAGAAGCTGCACTGTAATCCCAAAGGCATGCAGTTCAAGACCACCAGCTCCTCCACGGGAGAAGGATGGGCATTCTCCTCCCAGGCAATTAACTGCCTCTGAAAACTCACTGGAGGGTCAGCTATGGGTCAGTTCTTACTCTCCAGTACACAGTAGCAACAGTTATGATTTTATGGATGAAGAGAGACCTGGGCAGGACCTGCCATCTGTGGTCTCTGATTCTCAGTTTCACCTGTGACTTCATTCAGTTCTCCCACCGACCCTGCACAGGGGCTTCCCTGACCCTATTTTATTTATTTTAAGGTTCAGAGAGGTTATAAAATGGCCCAATGTCACACTCCAGATTAGTGGAGTAGATGAGGCATGAGTTTGAATCAGGCCTTCAAATCCTAGAGTTTGGGCTTTAAAATCTTGTGCTAAACTGTTCTCTATATCCTGACTGAAAACTGCCAACTCTGCCTGTACCCAGTTCCCAGATGGGAAAATCAAGGCCTATGGAAGGGAAGTAATTTACCTGAATTCACACACTCAGAGACGAGACATGGACTAGAACCTGAGTTTCCTAATGGCCCCAGGAGAGCAGGCAGGCAGCTGGTGCTGAAGACAGGGAAAGAGTCCCCTCCCCCAGCCCCAACCCTTGTGCCTGGACAGCCTGCATCCCTCCTCCTCCCTCCATTACAGCAATCACTGGCTGTCCTCCAAGGGATGCAGAAGCCAAGATCAATACTGAAATGTGGCTTTTGCATCGGTAAAACAATTAAGTCCACTTCTGTTTCCATAGGCTCAACTCCTTAGCTGAAGACAAGCTGCAGGCTAGAGCAGGGGAGGAGGGACCAGGCTATGGGGGTGTACCTCAGGCTCCCCCTCCTTCCCTGGTCTCCTTTTATACCCCCCCAGGGTAAGGGTGCCAATTCCTGGACAGAGGAGAGGGAACCCCTCACCAGAGCTGGCCATGGGCTGAGGAAGACTGAAACTCTCCCTACTCCACAGTCCCTCCCCTGTCCCTCCCCTGTCCCCTACAGTAGAGCCACAAACCTAGCAGGTCAGCTCTAGAGGGTCTCAGGGGCGTAGGCATCCCTCTGAGTCAGGCTACACATTTAAGGAAAAGAATCCTGCTGCTTTGTCCACATGAGGCTACACTCCATGGAGCAGAGTTACACGGACACGACTGGACACAGCAAATGCGGGCCACATGTCTCCAAACTTGTGTCTGGATGCCAGACCTTCCTACTAGAACACCAGGAATTCATTGTTTTCATAAATCTTGTCATCATTCCACCAAAAGTACAATTAGCCTGCAAAAAGGTCAGTGTTAAAAGCATCAATTTGTTGAATGTAAACATATACATTATGTCATCATTTTATAACTGTGTCTGACATGTCTTCATTTTCTAATATACAAAGAACCTCAAGCAACCACAGGCTCTTCGCTGCTCTTGACTTCTGAGGCCTTGCTCTGCTCTATAGACGGGGGAAACCGAGGCCCAGAGAAGAAAGGTCCCATTATGGAAATCACTCATCAGGTGGTCAAGCTGATTAGAACCAGAGCTCTGAGGACTCCTGACTGTTCACCTCTTCATCCAGAGAGGGAGTTCTTTTCAATATAAGTTAGATCATGTTATTCTCTGACTTCAATACACTTCTACCACAATCCAAACTCCTCTCCTCAGTCAAGAAGGCCCTGCCTCTTCCCATGCACCCCCTCCTGTTAGCCATGAAGTTTCAGCCACATTAGCTTCCTTTATGACTTCAGGCACAATAAGTTCCTTCCAACCTCAGGGCCTTTGCACATGCTGTATGTTCCCTGCCTGGTGTGTTCTCCCCCTTGTCTTCCCATGGCTTCCTCCTCCCTGCACTGTCACTAATTCCCCACTCCAGCGAGCCCTTCTCTGGCTGCCTTTTTGAAAGTCTCTTTCCACCAGGCCGTTACTATTCACTATTTTGTTTTCTTTTCACCAGAGCACTCATTGCTGTCTAAAATTAGCTTACTCGTGTGGTTTCACATTCTTTTCACCTAGAAGATGGGCTCAATAAGAGCAAGACTGTGTCTTTGTCACTTCCAGATCCCCAAGGCCAACTTGCTAAGTAGATCATCCAGAGCCCGTAGCTAATAAGTGGCCTAGCTGTGATCGAAATCTATGTTAACAATCACTATACTTCTTGCCTGTCATTCTAATAATGAACTAATTGATAAGTCATTCCATCCAGCTCAATAGAGTTCTACAGTGTGAGAGGATGGAGAGAAGTTTCTACCTAGGTACCTGGAAAGATTGCCCCAACATCTACTCTTGAATACCATCCTTTACTGAGGACAGGTCTCCTATGTTGGGCTGAGCCAATAGGCAGGGGTGAGTGGAAATGTTGGGGTGAGGCCCCTGGGGGGTCTGAAAATCCCAGTGGGACAGGCATGGTCCTGGGGGAGGATGGTCCCATACAGATGGGCTTTGCTTACAGAGGGGAGGGGCTCCAGTAGCATGAGGGCATGAGACTCTTCAGGAGACACCTGGGGAGAAAAGCCTGACGTCTGGGAACAGGAAGGGCACCTCACTCCTCCACCAGGCACTAAATGGCTTACCAATCCCAGGAAGTTAAAGAAATAATCTCAAAACCCAGATTGCCAGGGGAGGAGAATGAGGATAACGACCCCCTTGGAGGCTCCCTCAGGCACCTGAAGTGCACGTGTGGCCCAAATGAGCACGTGCCATGTTTCTACCAGGAGCCTTGAGACTGGCACCAGGGGGCTGAGAAAGTACCCAGTGCTCAGGAGGGACTGTGGGTCTATATAGGTGTACCAAGGCCCATTGCCTCTGGCTGCTCCAGACCAGGAAATCCAGTTAGCATCAGGTTGGTTCTGCTCCTAGCAAGCTCATTTGTCAGAGCAGATCTGCACTCCATGGGGTTTTCAATGGCTGTGATCTTAGAGAAATAGAACACCAGGCCTTTCTTCCACAGTACCCCTGGGTGAGTCTGGACCTCCAAGCGTTTGGTTAATAGTCAAATTCTTAACCACTTGCACTAGTTCTAAACTGTTACCTCGCTTTGTGTGCCAAGGTGAGGAACAGGCTAGAAGGCAGGCTGAGCACCTGGGAGGAAGTCAGGTCCATGCAATTAGTGGCCTTTCCGGAGGATGGGGTGGAGACTGCGCAGGAGCGTAGGCCCTACTCTTATGGGTGGGGTTCAAGGCAGCTGCATTTTTAAGGCAATTTAGAGGGAGCTTGGGAGTAGCCAATTTCTACTTTTCTCTTTAGTTCATTATAGTTTCTTTGTGCTGTTGATTCTGTGAGCTCTTAAGGAGGGATAGAGGAGGGGAGAAAGAGGAGGGGAGAAAGAGGAGGGGAGGAGACAGATAGAGATTATTTTAAAAGCCACACAAACACTATCTCCTGGGTTTTGGACCGCTCCCTGGGGTGGATGGATGGAGGTCCCGGGTGGTGCAGCCCGGCTGGGAGCTGCCTGAAGTCACTCAGGACTGCCAGCAGGAGAGGCTTTAGAGCATGTTGCCAAATATTCAGCAACCAAACCCCCTGGGGGCACCTTGAGTGGCAAACAAAGAAATCTGCTAAAAGAAGCTCCGGGCTTCCTCTCCCGCTGGGAGCATGTAGGCTGGCAGTTGGCACACTTCTTGGAGGAGGTTCCCTGATAACCTCCCACCCTTACCCTCCTCCCTCACCTCGGCCTGAGCACCTTCCTCCCAGGAAGTCAAGATTCAACACGTGGTCCCAGAGCAGGGTCTGTGCAGCTGCTGCACGGCACAGCCCAGAGTCTGCGCTGCCCAGAAATGCTTAGTCACGGTCCAGAAAGGGACAATGTCCTTCCCACGCTCCCCCATGCACATCTGTCCCTCTGTAAAGGAGTGCTGAAGGAGCAGGACGTGTGTGTGTGATGAACTGGTCTAGGATCCCCAACACAGAGGGTGAACTTTAGTTCCTGACTCTTTCCTCCTCTTGAGGCCAACCTCAACCTGTCACCCCAAGTCATGGCACTAGCTTTGTCCCCAGTCTCAGGAATTAGGACATCTCTTTTGATCACTGGAGGTACAAAGCACAGAGAGCACCAGCCTGCTGCTGGTCACACAGCGATGGTAAGACCATCTATGTATCCGGGCATGCAGCAGTCTCCCTGTCAGCCCCCTGCAGCCCTGGGATCCCTAGCCCCAATTCCAGCTCTAGACATTCCACAGGTCTCACTCTTTCATATCAGGTGTTCACTTGCTCTGCAAACACTCTCTGGAGGTCAAGTGTGCACCACACACCATACCTAGGCCTTCAGAGACCATTCCCACAAAGCCCCCTCCTCTGAGTCGCTTCTCCCTGCAGGGTCTGTCTGTGGGGGAGTGTGGTAACCAGCAGAATGCTGAGCTCCCAGCAAGACAGCCAGAGAAATGAAAGGCAGCAACACACAGTCCAGCACGGGGCCTGCTGGGAAGCCTGTGGAGAACAGCCTGAATCTCTGTACCAGCCACACTGCAGGGCCGCATGAACAGCTGTGGCCTGTGCCAGGCAGATTTCAGCACAAGGACGTCAAATCCCTAGATATGAGGCCAGCCTCATGACGGATCACATTGCACAGACCACAGGCTGTGACGCCCCCACACCTGCACCCACCTCCCCCAACAGAATGCCTCCTGCTACCAGCCCAGTGAAGACTCCTCGTACGCCATCCAGGGCACAGGATGGCAGTCGGCATCTCCCACACACTGATGCACTCGAAGTCATTCCACTGCAAATCCAAACCAAGCTAGTGAACTTGAAGTGGCCCCACATGTGTCAGAGTAGATCTGTGCTCCATGGATTTCCAGAGGCCGGATTTTCAGAAGTAGACCTCCAGGTCTTTCTTTCAAGCCACATATGGGCTGGCTCAGACCTCCTGCCTTTTTGGTTAGCAGCCAAGGGTGTTAATAGTTTGCACCACCACCCAGAGCTCAGGCACTCCATTACTACAATGCCAAAAAGCAAGTATCCAGACTGGACTTCCCAAACTTTAATGTGCAGACAGATCACATGGTTGGCTTGTTGCAGATTAAGGCAGATTCTAAGTTCTTGAATTTGGAGTAGAGTTCAAGAATTTCTACCTCTAACAAATCTCTTCCAATGCTACTGGTCACTTCCAGTCCCTAAGAACAGTGATTACCCCAACTTTTTGTCATGATAGAAATCTTTTCCAGAACCCAGGTAACAACTCAGACTGATGAAATCATCATCTTTGGGAGCAGGACTAGGATGTGCAGCTTTTAAAGGCGATTCCAGTGAGGAGACACTGCTGTCCTAGTGTCATTTGGGGCTGGAGGATGGATTGCACTGTTGAGGCAGCGCATATCTGGAGTTTACTGACACAGTTTGAACTGGGCTGGCTACCAAAAGGTTGGTAATTCAAGTCCATCCTGAAGCTCGGCAGAAGAAAAGGCCTGGTATTATTATAGACAAGAAAACCCTATGAAGCAGTTCGACGCAGGAACAAGTAAGGTCACTGTAAGTCAGAATCAATTCCACAGCGAAAAACAACAGTGATAGATTGAGTTGTGTCTCCGAAAAAGATACGTCCAACTCCCCAGGATCCACAAACACATTGATACCATGCGGGGAAAGGCCTCCTGATCTACTCTGTAAAATCATGGAGCAGTTCTTCTCTGTAACCCATGGGGGTGGCCTTGAGTCCTCACCAAATCTATAGCAATGAGGTTGGCTTTGTAGGTGTGGGCATGTCAGGAGCTGTCCTGAATGCTGGAGTAACAGTGAACAGTCCTACCCTCTTGGATTTTTACAGTCAAGAGGACAGATGGATGGTAAACAAGTAGCCAAATCAGAAAATGAGATTAAGTGCAGAAATTAAGTCCTTAGAAGAAGTCTAGGGAAAAGCCATTAGGGAAATAAGCAGTAATGAGAGAGAGAGAAGGAGATAGAGGGAGAGGGAGGGAGGGAGAGAGATGAGAGAGACGAAGAGAGAGAGAGAGAGACAGAGAGAGACAGAGGGACAGAGAGAGAGAGACAGAGAGAGAACGGGAAAGTCCACCTCAGAATGTAGAATCGGAGAAAGCTGGGACATTGGGGCTGAAAGCTGAAGGCTGGGGAAGACCTAGTCATGCAAGGAGCCAGGGAGGGGCACTGCAGCAGAGGACCCACTGCAGAGGTGAGACATGAAGGGGCGTGTCAGAGGGCCCCGGAGAGCCTGTCCCTTCTGGCATCTCAGCCTTAGCCTGGTTGAGACAGAGAGTTGGCCTGTAGCCTCCACTCTAGAACTCTAGAGAAAGGGAAGTGGAGGGATTTGTTCTCAAAGTTACCACAGGAAGAAGAACTCCCAGCATCACTGGGAGGCAGACCCAGGTCCTGTGTAGAGACAGGGGTGAGGGGAAGAAGGGCTGGAGAGTATACGGGACAAGGACCAGCCGCCTACCTCTGGCCGAGAGCTTCTTGGTGTTGATGATCTTGGCAGCATATTCCTGGCCAGCCAGCACCTTCACACACCTGCGTACCACCGAGAAGGCGCCCCTGGGACAGAGAAGACGGAGAAGGTGAGGAGGGACCAAGAGCATCTTCTCCAGGAGATGCCATAATTCACACAGCTGCTCCCTGCTAGGAGAGCTCCCTCACGGCCACTCACACTTGAGCTCGAGGAATGCTGGGATCTGACTTGAGAAAGACCCAGAAGAACCACTGGCAGTGGTAGACCCGTGGCCTCTTACAAGACAAGCCTTCCAGAACCATCACAAACTTGCTCACCACGCTCTAAAACATTAGAATTGCTCAATGTTACAATCACAGTCTGTGGTTTGAAAGTTTTTAATTTTTTACTTTCAGAGTAGGTAACACATGGGCATGATTCAAGATCCAGAAGTAGACATGGTGAAGACTCCCCCCTGACCCAGCACCCCTGGCTTCAAGCTCCCCTCCTCAGAGACAGCCCTGCTACCAGTCCTATTCACAGATATTCTTACCCCCCCCACCCAAATGGCACTGGCTGCTGTACCTTCCTTCCTTCAGTAAAGCATTTACTTTGGGAAGCCTTCTCCCAAAGATCTCATCACTTAGTATTTCATTGTATGTTTAAAAAAGAAATAAAATAAACTTGCCACCATTGAGTTCATTCCAGTTCATATTGACCTTCTGTTGGGTTTCTGAAGCTGCTCATAATTCTCCCTTGATTTAATGGTACAGTGGCCGTATAATTTACCAACTCAATCCCATTGCCATCAAGTCAATTCAGACTCACAGTGTCCCTGCAGAACACACTGGCGGTGCCATCCGGCTTCCCAGGCCTGGAACACACTGGCGGTGCCATCCGGCTTCCCAGGCCTGGAACACACTGGCGGTGCCATCCAGCTTCCCAGGCCGGGAACCTCTAAGGGGCAGACTGCTTTGCCTTTCTTCCAAGAAGCACCTGGTGTGTCCAAAACACCCACCTTTTTAAAATTAGCATCTGGATTCTTTATAAATAAATTCTAGAAGCCATGAGGGTTTCTACAATTTACCTCAACTCAAGTCATTGTTGTCAAGTTAGAACCGACTCATAGCTGACCCTCAGGCAGGTTTTCCAAGTCTGTAAATCTCATGGAAGGAGATTGCTCATCGTTCTCCCAGGTAGCAGCTGGTGGATTCGAACTGCCTGCCTTTAGTCCTTACCCTCTACGTCACCAGAACGCCCTATAACTTGCCTAGTAACCCTTTGTTTTTGCATGCCATTGAGTTGGAACCAAGTTGTAGATGACCTTCTAGTAGGTTTTCAGAGGCAGAAAATTGCACAGGAGGAGACTGCCCATCCTTCTTCCATGGAGCAGTTAGTAGGTTTAAACCACATTAAGTCATCTCTTAAAATGAACAATTAACCCAGAACAAAATCTATTGCAGTTCAAGTCACTTCAACTCAGGACAGCCCTATTGAATAAATAGACTTATCTCCAAAGAATTTTCAAGACTATAAGTCTTTGTGGAAGCAGACGGCCTCACCTTTCCCCCTCGGTGTATTCTAACTGCCACCTTTCGGTGAGCAGCAAAGCTGTGCCCCCAGGACTCCTTTGCTAGGCAATTAGATTAGTCCAACCTCACTCTATAGACATCATTTCCCATGTGTGTCTCTATCTGTGGGATAAATTTCTAGACTTTGGCTGTCTGTTTTTCGCAAAGTTAGGCAATGTTGAACAGATATTAAGAGATTGTCCATCTTAGAGGTTGCACCCACTTTCTAAACCACTCTTAAGTGCGATGGCGTGCTGTTTCCTCCACTCTTATTAACATAATATGCTATCAGACCTTTTATCCTTGCTAGAGAGAAGGTGAAAGTGGAAGCTCAGTGAAGATTTAATTTCTAATCCTCCTATTAAGAGTAAGGCTAAGTACCTTTTCAGATGGTTAAGAGTCTTCTGAAATTTTACCCTTGAAGTACTAGCATTTGCAACAGATCTTGGAGTGACGTCTGTGAACTTAAATGCTGATGGGAGAGACTTACTGTTGCCATAAGGAATGTGGTCCACTTGCCAGATTATTTTATTTGCCAAGAGGATCCAGAAACATGAATGTTTATGTGAACTATCCCAATTTTTAAATGTTTTTAGGCGTGATAGAGTCAGTTTCGACTCATAGCAACCTTATGCCAACAGAATGAATCCCTGTCTGATTCTGAGTTATGCTTGTCATCTCTGTGTTTAAGCCATTGGTGCAGAAACTGTCAGTGTGTCTGGTTGAGGGCCTTCCATTCCTTCACTGACCCTTCACTTTTCCAAGCATGATGTCCTTTCCTTGCCTTTAAGGAACTCTGGCTGCATTTCTTTTTCTCTCCCCAATGCCATTTTTACTTATTAATTGTTGCACATTTTCTCCCCCCTTCCTTCCCTCTCTCGTAGCCCACCCCACAATGCACCCCTTTTCCCAGATTCTCATAAATATAATGCATAATCACATATTTCTTTCAAACAGTTCTTCTCTTGATCTGTTCTAATGCAGTGTTCCTTATTTATCCACTCTTTCTTCTTTCCTTCCCCAATCCCTCCATGTCTGTCCTATTTTATAAAGGTGGTGTTATGCAGTATTTATCCTTTTGTGACTGAGATATTTCACTTAGCATGATGTCCCCAAGTCTCCCCCATGTTGTGTAATGTTTTATTACTTCATTGTTTTTCAGTGCTGTGCGATATTCCATTGTGTGGATGTACCATCGTTTTCTATCCATTTGTTTATGGCTGCCCTTCTACCAAGATAGATTTGTTCCATTTACTTTCAACCTATGGTATATTAAAAATTCTTTGCCAGTACTACAATTATTCTTCAGTCACCTTTATCCATTGTCCCACTCTCACAGGCATATGAAGCAATAGAAAATACCATGACTTGAGTCAGGCACACCTGACCCAAGTCTTTAAAGTGACATCCTTGCTCTTTGGTCCTTGACAGCAGATTATTGTTGTCATTGAGTCAAGTATGACTAATAATGACTCCATGAACAACAGATCCAAACCTTGTCCTATCTTGTGCCACCTTCATCATCTCTGACACACTTGAGCCCATTGCTGCAGTCATTGTGTTAGTTCATCTCATCAAGGATCTTCCTTTCCAAGCATGTGGTCCCTCTCTAAGGAATATTCCCTCCTAACAACATGCCCAAAGTATGTGAGATGAAGCTTTGTCATCCTTGCTATCAAGGAACATTCTGGCTGTACTTTCTCCAAAACATATCTGCTTATTCTTTTGATAGCCCATAGGATATTGGCAGCAGATAATATCAATGGAATTGTTTGATTTCTTGACTGCCGCTGGTTTACAAATAAATATTAACTATAGATCTAAGTAAAATTAAATTCTTGACAACTTCAATCTTCTCTCCATTTGCAATAATGTTGCTTGTTGGTCCAGTTGAGGATTTTTGTTTTCTTGATGTTTAGGTGTGTAATCTCTCAGGAGTGTTTCAAGTATTTTTCTCTTTCAGCAACCAAAGTGGTGTGATCTGCATGATACAAGTTGTTGGTGAGTCTTCTTTCAGTCCTGATGCTACATTCTTCTTCGTATAGTGCATCATTTCAAATTATTTGTACAACAGATTAAATAGGTACGGTGAAAGGGTACAACCTTGATACACACCTTTCCTTACTTTAAGCCACGTAATATCCCTTTTTTCAGATTCTTGATCTAATATACAGGTTCAGCATGAGCACAATATAAGTATTCTTGAATTCTCATTCTTCTCAGTGTTAGCCATCATATATTATGGTCTGTAGAGACAATACAGCCTGAAATGAGGCTACTGGCAAAAAATAAGGCCCCCAGAAATTGAAGTGATACTAAATGATATGTTTCAAATAACAGATGCAGCCCTGGATTTGCTCACCAGTTTAGGCCAATGCTTTCAGGACTGTGAGGCTGTCTTCCTTCTGTACCATCTGGTCCTTGGTCATATGTTGCTTACTAAAATGATTCCATGTCAATCATTTCTTTTTGATAAAGTAAGTCTGAGTATTTCTTCCATCTTCCTTTGATGCTTCTTGCATCATTCAACATTTTGCCCATAGAATGCTTTAGTATTGCAACTCAAAGCTCAACTTTTTAAATTTTAAAATTCTTTAAGCTTGATAAATGCCAAGGGTGGTTTTCCTTTTTTATTTCTAACTCTAGGTTTTCACACATCTCATTATACTATTTCTCTTTGTCTTCTTTAAAATATCTCACATGCACTCTTTGCCACTGAGGCAGAAGCCCTGACTCATATCTGACCCTCAGGCGCATTTTCAGAGGCTGTAAACACATGGGAGGAGATTGCCCTTTTTTCTCCCACAGAACAATTGGTGGATTCAAATCACCGCCAATTACAGTGCCACTCCTTACCACTAGTCCACCAGAGCTCCCTACGGACCCTTTAATGCAGAAAAATTTAAACATGATACCAGGCCAAGTAAAACTTGTCTGAGGACCAGATGAATTCCAAACATAGTTTTGTATACTTTATCGCAGAAGTCTTATGGGGCCCTGATATCTTGATAGTTAAAGCTTTCCACGGCTAACTAAAGGTCTGACGGTTGGAACTAGTCTATCTAAAGGTGTGACTGTTTCCTCCTCCCGTGAGCTATGTCAGATGTGACAGTCAGCTTCCATAAAGGTGTACAGCCTTGGAAGGGCTGTGGGGCAGCTCTACTCTGTCCTCTAGGGTCACGGTGAGTCAGAACCACACGAGTCAATGGCGGTAAGGTTGGTTTTTGGTATCACGAAGGTCATGTCCTTTCACCCACAGAAGAGTTCCTGAGGGACCCAACACCAATCATACTTAACACCCTGCTCACTCACTCTCCTGCTTTGTCGTCGTGTCAGTTCTGACTCATGATGACCCTGTGTGTGCAGGTTTTCAAGGTTAAGACCTTTTAGAAGCAGGTTGACAGGCTTGTTTTCTGAGGCCTTTTTGGGTGCGTTTAGCTATTTGCCGTTTGGGCTACTCAGGAACTTATGGTGTAAGCCCAACTGGGGTAGGGCATCACTTCCCTATAGGGAACGTTGGTGGTTTAAGGCCAATA